ACTACAAACTCCAGGGGGGCTTGGGAAAGCAAAACAGCTCAGCTCACGATGGCACTGAGCAATATTAACGAGGTCGAACGCGTGTGCATGGGTGATTCCAAAATTAACAACCAGGCTTCTAAAATCTGGTTTCATTCTTCTGCCCCCTCTTAAGCTGCTGTTCAATCTCCTCGGGCTTTTATTGTGCCCCGTGTTTGGAAACAAGACAGAACAGTGGAAAGTGCTGTTCCAAAAATAGTGCAATGCCAATAAAAGAGCTTGTTTCCAAACAGAGGTGGATGCTACTGTGAAATAATACATGGACTAAAACCTGGGATGACTCCCCTGGTTCAGCCTGCAGCCAAAGTTTTCTTCAACCCACACAGAAATCTTCAGTCGTGAAACGGCAGTATTTCTCTGCTCACTCTCCATCTGAGTGCCTGGAATTTTGAATAAGAGTTTATTTTCATAAACAAAATAGTCTCGATTCATGCATGACTCTTCTGAAGCTGCCACATGTAAAGTACTTTTCGTGTTACCAGTAAAAAGGAGAAGGAGAGTTGCCTTGATTTTTTTTCCCCTACTTTTTTTTCTCACCTCTTCCTCTTCACCTTCTCCCCCCACTCCCCAGGTGAATCATTTACACTGCACAGGCCCTTTGTGATCCCAGGGATCGTGGTGAGGAGGTTTGATGTGCATGCAGTGAGGGTTGGACTAGATGATCTTACAGGTCCTTTCCATCCTTTATGATTCTGTGGGTCAGTGGACTCTCAAGGTGGCACTGCAATGCCACGTAAATTTGAGGAAACCCCTCGCATGGAGAGCACAGTCAGGAGCCCGTCCATCCTGGAGAAAGGGAGAGCTCCAGCCCCAGCCCCTGTCCAGCCTCTCAGCATAACCAGTGGTGTGGCCTTGCAGGGAAACGAACAGACAGAAGGTGCTCATCGAGCAGCTTTCCTGTAGGAGGGAGGAGAAAGAGGAAAGCTGGTATGGACAGTCTCATTCATAGACATTAATTTTGCACTGTCTGGGCAAATAATGCCGATGCTCTTCATGTGCCCCTTTCAGCTGCTTTGCCCTGGTTGCAGTGACCCCTCTGCACGCCGAAGGCACTCCTGCTGTCTTGCCTCTCCTGTTCGTCAGCTGGTGGTGAAACTCTTTTTTTTCTTCCTTGCGGGGGGTGACCTCTTCCCAGACATGGTGGAGATGATGCTGATGCAGAACGCTCAGATGCACCAGATCGTGATGCAGAACATGATGCTGAAGGCTCTGCCGCCGGTGGCGTTCACGCAGCCCACGGGGGTCAGGTCTGCCCCGCCCCAGCACACACAGCAGGTAAAACCCCCGGGCCTGGGGGGGTGTCCTTGCTCGCACCAGGCAGTGGCTGATCTCCTGGGGAGGGTACAGGGCCTGGACAGCACACACGGAGAGGCTGGGACGTCTTAAACCTGCGGCGCCAGGAGCCTGTTTGTGAGATGGCACAGCCTGCCTGCTGGCCGTGAGGAGCGCTGCGAAGGCACCCCACGGGAGGATGAGTGTCTGCTCACAGGTGCAGAGTGGAGTCAGTCCAGCTCTGAAAACCACCTGGCCTGTAGGGTTGAACCACTAACACGAAGACACCTGCACTGAGTATCTGCTGCTGCAGGTCCCTCACTGCAAACAGCGGGGGGAAAGCTGGAGAGGAGCCTCTGGCAAGGGCAGGCAGTAACAGAACAATGGGGGATGGCTTTAAACTGAAAGAGAATAGGTTTAGATTAAATATTAGGATGGAATTCTTCCCTGAAGGGTGGTGTGGCCCTGGCACAGAGAAGCTGTGGCTGCCCCATCCCTGGAAGTGCTCTAGGAGAGGTTGGACAGGGTTTGAGGCAACCTGGGCTAGTGGAAGGTGTCCCTGCCCTTGGCCGGGGCTTGGAATGAGAGGGTCTTGAATGTCCCTTCCAACCCAAACCATTCTGTCATTCTATGAATATTTATGTTACAAATTATTTTATTAGTAAAACCTGACCTGGCAGTATCAAATGGAGTAGAGCTAAAGCTCAGATTTTGTGATGGGGCTCCTCTGCTCTTGTTCCTGCCTCACTGAAAATCACTTGCTACTCAGCACTGAAGGAACAGCTTCTTAGACATATTTTAGTATGTAGAGCCCTGTAGGGATTTTTTAAAAATGTGTCCAGTGCCTGATGAGGGGTAGGTAAATTTGAACATATCCTTAGATGCCCAGTTCCTAATCTACTTTTAACAAGGTGATAGAACTCCTAAGCATCCTTAAGTGCCTTGGAAAAATGTCCAGTCTCTCCTCCATGGCATTTATGATCTAAGAAGAAAGGAAGGTTAATCTTCATAGAGGAGGGGGTGTGCTAGCATTGCAATACCTTCCTCTGTACTTTTCCTACCCCACAACCTTCAGGATAACGTTTCCTTGTGCTGAAAGAAAGATCCTTGATCCCCACCCTTTGGTCTCTCTTCCAACCAGGACCTGCAGCTTGCTGCTCCCCTGGCTGTGAGAGCAGACCGTCCCAGGCCACCCGTGGTGCACCACCACCACCACTACCCTCCCACAGGGGTGCTCCCAGTGCCTCCCAAGGGCTTCCCAGCCCCGTCCCCGGCGCATCACTGGACCTGGACGTAGGCAGCTTGCTCCCTACCCGGCCTAGGTAAGCAAGCAGGCAGCTGTGACAAACCCTCCTAGCCCATTCTTCCTGCACAGGTTGGAGTAGCAATGCAGATTGTGGAACTAGAGCCCTGCCACGCTGTGGGGCTCTTACTCTGGGTTCTGGATCTCCCTGCCAACCCAGCAGTCACCTGCTGAACAAGGAGGGATTGTGCGTTTTACATTCAGGCTCGGGTTCCCAGCAGGATTTACCTTCTTAAAGCACTGCTGAGACATTTGCTGAGTGGAAATTCTTGGGGGGAAAAAAAAACCCTGCCACGCTGCTGCATCGGTGGGAACACAGCTTTTATTTCTGTGCTGTGGCTCCTTCAAGACCTTAGTGAACAGAAGGACAGGGTGGAGGCAGCTGCATCCCTGGGCCCCCGTGACCTGCTGGCAGGGGTGTCTGCACGGCAGAGGATTTGAATTCCTGAACAGATTATTTACCTAATGGGATTCTAAGGGATAAACATTTCTACCTATTTCCCTTTTACATGGGTTTGTAATCTGAACTGAGTAAAGAACTCCTGGCTCCTTTCAGAATCAGTGCAATTTGCTGTTTGCATGAATCAGCAAAGCTCTTGTCATGGCCTTCAAGCTTTCTTCCTCTGCTTCAGCTCCTTCTGCCATGACTTATGAGACCAAACATCTTCTTGCAGCTGCAGCACTGCTGGCTATTGCCCAACACAATACACCCATTTTTCTTGTTGCAGGTGGCCCTCATACTGACAGGATGGGATCCTCGGCACGTGGACCATAGCCTTTCTAAAAGTAATAAAATCCTGATGTTCTTCCTTGAGTATTGCCATGTCGTCTTATTCAGCAACATAAATCAAGCAATTTTCCCTCCTTTATTTTTCCCACTAGTTTTCAGAGGGCAGGCTTGAATCCATGCCCATGCTATCCTGTTCTTATCAGGCAATAATTCTTCATGCTCTCAGCAGCCTGGTTGTCCTTAATATAGAAAGATGAACAATGATTTCCTAGCACTTTCTCAATGTCTTCTCCTCTTGTTAAAGCAGAGACCATCTGTGCACTGGGTTTGCCTCGTGCAGCTTGAGATTGAGTCTGATTAAGATAACCCAGGGACCTAACTTTCATTGGGAATGAAGAAAAGACAGTAACAGCCACTGAGGGAAGCTACTGGTGCGCTGTCTGTGCTCCAGAAACAATTAATGAATTATTTATTTACTATGTAAAACCTACCTTGCTCTTTGCCCTCCCTGCTCTGTTGTCTGTGCTGGGGGTGTGTGAGTCAGTCAGATAGTCTGGATCAATTCACTGCTGTGGAGATCAGAGAAACCCACCGGTTGGACGTGGTGCCAGGGCCTTCAACAACCCCAGCCAGCCCATCTGGAACCCCCTGCTCTCCCCGAGGCCACCATTCCCATTTAAACTCAGGTTTTCCAGTCCTGGAAAGCTTCTGCAGATTTGACATGGACCCTTTGCCCAGCTTCACACCCCAAAATGCTTGAGTCACACGCAAGCTTCCTTGGATGACAGATGTCCTCAAAGACAGGATGAGGCTCCTGGGCAGGCAGGGTGTCTCACACCTCAGCCTCAGGAGAGAACCTGTGCAGCTCCAGAAGCTGCTCTGCGTTGTCCCACCAGTGCCCCTGCAGCTGCAGCCCACTGAAGCGCCAGGGAAAGCCTGGCAGATGCAAGTTCTCCTCCTGCTCTGTGTGTGTTCCTTGAAGACTGTGGAATTGCTTCAGAATTCCTGAAAGAGGCCTTGGGATGAAGCCTGGCTG